AGGGTTGTGGTATGATGGTGAATGTGGTGAGGGTTGTGGTATGATGGCGAATGTGGTGAGGGTTGTGGTGATCATGGTGAATGTGATGAGTGTTTTGGTGATGACATTGAATGTGGTGAAGGTTGTGGTGAAGACGGTGAATGTGGTGAGTGTTTTTGTGATGATGATGAATGTGGTGAGGGCTGTGGTGATGAAGGTGAACATGATGAGTGTTTCGCTGATGATGATTGTAATGGGGGTTGTGGTGATGATGGTGAATGTGGTGAGAATTGTGATGACAGCAAATGTGATGAGTGTTTCGGTGACGATGGTGAATGTGATGAGTGTTTCAGTGATGACAGTGAATGTTTTGGGGGTTGTGGTGATGCTGGTGAACATGGTGAGGGTTTTGGTAATGACAGTGAATGTGGTGGGGGTTGTGGTGATGACGGTGAATATGGTGGGGACTCTGGTGACTTGGGGAAGTGGTTGTGCAGATGGCAGGGTCCAGTGCTATTGTAGATGTGGTGACTGGGCATTCAGGTGATCTAAAATATTTTGGGTAATTTCATGTCTCCATTTCTCTCTCCAGGTTGGCTGTAAGGCTCTGGTTTGTCCCATAAAGTTTAAGACCCAAATTTACTATGACATCATTAAGCAGTGTTGTCCAGAAGTGGAAAAAGCCGCTCCTGGGGATCTGAGGAGCAAAAGGTACAAACTGCTGGCTCAGAGCAAGAAGCAGAGAGGAATTAAAGCTATCAGCTCACACCTGGCGCACCCCCTAAGGAGGAGCGAACCGAGAGAGGAACAAGTGTGCCGGAAATCACAGGGGTAGATGTGCTGTTGGTGGGTGTTAAGAGCGGGGGTTGGGTAAACTATAGGAAGAATGAAGGGATCGGGATTGAGAGGGATGGGACAGGAAAGCAGTGGGTGTGATGGACAGTTGAAAGGGAGACTGGGCAGGAGTAGTGGTCAGCAGGGACTGAACTAACAGTGAGATTCTGGATTGTTGAAAGGAAGGATTTCTGCAACATCTCACTTTTGAGAACAGGAGGAATCTGTGACAGAGGAAGCTTTTGTTTTCTGTGTTCTAACTGCTTTTCGCCTCACAAGAATGGATTTGAACAAACCCTGAGCTGTCTGACCTTCTTCTGAGCCCTATTCCGCTTCCCTGTCTTCATCTGGTGGAAAACTCACTGCAGCTTCCCCACTCAGACAAACCATTCAAATTACAGTTAAGGCCAGATGATGTCTTCAGAATCCAATCTATATATTTAGAGAAGAAACCTGTGGCTTCTAGACAATGGGAACTTTGACTACCACCCACCACATCATTAAGTCATTTATAGCACAGAAGAAGGCCATTCAGCCAGTTGAGCCTGTGCCAGCTCACCAGAGAACAATGCAGTCATTCGCACAGCCTCCCCTCAGTCCTTATTTCTATCAAATGCTGGCATACATCGTGTACCCTCCTTTTGTGTTTCAGCATGTTCTCCTTTCTTCCTTGTCATCCAAGGAGGGCTGGTTTCTGTCTCCCCTACCTTTTTCCCTTGTTGGAGTGTACCTGAACTTTCTCCTCTTTAAAGATCACTCATTATTCTGAAACAGCGTTCCCTGTTAGTCTATAGTTCCATTTTAAACTGGCTAAGTAGATTCCCTCACATTGAAATTAGCCCTCATCCAATTTAGAACATTTAGATTGCACAATATGTATCTCCATTATTAATTTAAATCTCAAGATACAGTTGTCACTCTTATCCAAATTTTCCTACACAGACACTTCATGAGGTACACCTCATTTCCCAGCATCAGTTATGTTTCTTTCCTATTTGACCCAAGAATATACTGATCAAGGGAAGTTCTCCTGAACACAGTTTAGAAATTCATCCCCATTTTCTACTGTTAGTCTGACATTAATTACTCAAATATTGATTAAAATGAAGTATTTTAAATGTTATGATGCCAACCAGCTTATTCTTGAGGTAGTTTATTGCCACCATCCCCTTTCCTTTACTGAGGGCCTATATCGTTTACAGTGGTAGCAGAAAACCACTAGTGAGCCTTAACTAGAAGGGATGTGGAGGTGCCAGTGTTCAGTGGACAAAGGAGCAGCGTTCTGAAGGTTGTGATTTCAAGAAAATCTATTAGACTAGAACCTGGTGTCGTGTGACTTCTGACTTTAACTAGAAGGGGTTTGTGTCTAAACGTGAAGTGGTTTGTTGCATGATGGCATTAATAAGATATTGTTACTACAAGTATGAGGAGACCTACGATATAGGTCTTCACTATACAATATCCTAAGCTGTTCTGCCTTTCCCCACCCAAATTCAGATTTTTAGTTCAGATTTCCAGTATCTGCAGTTTTTTGATTTTATTTGTTAGTCCTGTCTTTCTGAGATTTCCACATATGGAATAGTTAACTCATTTAGGATGGTACTTTTGTTGCTGAATGTACAGTAGTCAATATCCTCATTGCAGTTGATTCTGCAAAGTCCCAGGCAGTGCTACCTGATCTCCCTCACTCTTACTGAGGGTTAAGGACAGGAAGGCAGCAGATTTGAGGTGCAGTAGGTTTGGTGTGAAGAAGGATCAGCGAGGGGGCAAGTTTTTGGGCAGCAGAAGCTGCAAATTGTAGTGTCAGTGGCAAGAGTGTGGGTAAGAGAATGGGAGAGGCTGTGCACTGGAGGATTGTGAGAAGAAGGGTCTATAGTGATCACAATGGTCAGAGAGCAAAATACATGGGGCAGGAGGTTCAGTGGGCAGGATCGGCAGCGAGCAGTATGTTAGCATTTCTTTTACTGTAAGTTTTAAAATTTATTTTATTTTCAAATGTTTTTCATTTGCCAATATAGGAATTTAAAAATATAATTTTTTTTACTAACAGGAATTAATGTCTACATTATCTGGAAAGGAAGGTTCTACTGAACCTAATTATAACTTTTGGATTTGTTTTCATGGGAAAATATGATTCGCTTAAAGTCAGTTAACTTAAAACTGTGATAGTAAGAACTGCAGATGCTGGAGTCAGAGATAACAAAGTGTAGAGCTGGATGAACACAGCAGGCCAGGCAGCATCAGAGGAGCAGGAA